TCAATTTGGCACTTCCTTTTATGTGATTCCCGAAGTATGAAAAGGTTACAACTAAAAGACGAGAAATTACTCTCGCAAGAACCGCTTTTACGCAATTATTTGCTACATTATTGCAATGTTATTTATGCTCCATTTTTCTCCGAACATTCCGAGATAAAGTCAGGGTATATATGAACTGTTTTCTGAATAAAACAACTGAACTCAGGGCGGAGCAAACATCATGACTAAAGGAAAAATCAAAATTTGTCTAAGCACTATATTCGATGGCGAGGTCTTTATTACCTCCCAAAAAAGATGTTATTGTGGGCTTTAACGTCACTTTGAATGAGGAAAAAAAGTTGCTCCGCGTACGTACAAACTTGGCCAATATATTTATTGGCACATTCCAAAACTGTTTTCTTTAAAAAAGTAGAAGCGTGACTTTAAATAACCCCAGAACCAAGAGGTGGACGGATAAGTGGAGAGTGAATAACCAAAAAGAATAAGGATGGAATAAAGCTGGGCCAGATACGATAGCGTACAAGGGAAGTTCATTTCCTGATTACACACTACTAAGAGAAGTAATATGTAGGGGGGTTAGTGCACTTCCCGTAAACAAAAGTGAAGCCATGAAACCCAAAATCGCGGACAGAGGCCTTTCAACACAGTAGTGAGGTGACCGAATGCTCGGCATTGCACGTAACCAAATGGTGAGTGCTTTAAACACGTTTAATGGTGAGTCCGCCAGTGATGATCCCAACCGAGGTGAACACCTTCCAAGCTCACTCATCTAATTACAACTTTCCAACCCATACATCTGTCCAAATCATCCACTTCCAGAACACCTCCAGCTGCGCCTAAATCAACACCAAGATACGACAGCAAAATCCAGACCACTACTGGCTTACAGACGAGCAGGGTGGTGATAGCAACTACGGCAAATGAAGAGCCTTTGGTTCACGAAGTAGAATTAAGGCGATTACTCACTTTTGGACAACACCTGTATAAAAATAAGCCTACTCTATGTTCACCATTCATTCCACCTTGCCTGTTTGGTCCCACTTCAACACCACCTACCTTCAACAACCGTTCGAGTTATATAGAATTCGAGATAGGGGCGCATGCCTACATTCGAAGCGATGTAAATGACCCCTAGGTCTGGCCATACACGGCATATGTATCCCTTTTGTTACAGGCAACGGAATCGGGATCGCCGCTGACCCCAATGCAGCACTCGCGTCACCACTAAAGGTGTCATCAGGCATGAAGTCTAGAAAAGTGATCCACAACTTGTGTTTAAATGGTTACCTCTCCTCAAATCATCTGACAAAAAGGCAATTTCCAAAACCATATTAGAAAATACTTAAACTCATCCAAAAACAAAAGAAAAATAAAAATGTATAGTAAATGAAAACTTGATGGTAAAAAAACCCATGAATTGCACGAATTCACCACTCCCATTGACACAAAAAGGCAAAGTTTAGCAGAGAACCATTTTAGGCTGTACAAGAAGGCGTTTCGATGCGGAGAATTCGGCGAACCTTCGATAGGAGCTCCGCGTCTAAAGTTGGGGGAAGGTATTCCATGAGAAGCAGTCGCAGTGTATCCAACAGTCGAGGCAAGCCAAGGGCTTGCGTCACCGACGCCAGACGACTTAGCTCCTATAACACACAAAACGTCACTGCTGAGAGGCATCGAAATTAAGTCCAGGAAATATAGAACCACTAAAGTAATTAAAACGTTTCAAGGAGTGCAAAGCACAGAATTTGTTTTTCATGCAACCCCCCAGCTCCCATGCCTACGCACCTCTTACAGCCGCCAAGTAGTAGATGGGAAGCAGCTCTGACACAGAAAGATCTGTCAGCTTGGTGATGGTACCCTGTGGGCAAATACTTGTGTTCCTAAATGACCAACTTTACTGTTTCCAAAGAGAAATCCCTTGTGAACATTCACAGGAATGACCGTGGACATCCACCATGAAGTGTAACATTGTCACGATAGCATCACTTGTTGTGGCTGCAAAATTTCAAGTCCCAGTTTGATAATTAAAGGCACCCCATGCTGATTCACCACAAACCATCCTACTAGTCCCTCAGCCCTACCAAGTACCAGTGGTGAAGTTGGCACCATATTACCACATCAGTCCAGGCAGCATCAATCGTTGAAATAAACCAGTTACCACACTCACGACCTGAAAAACTGACATAACCAGTTCTACTGCCAACTTTTCGGCAGAATTTAATGGGCATTCTAACCTTCAAGAAGATGTCCGCCTTTTCGGGAAGACGCTTCGCAAGCCGAAGAACCTTGGAGAAATCCGCCGATGGACCGCTTGCGGTGTTTGCCCAGTTCACATAATGAAAATCTGATCCGCCTAAAGGCAATTAAAAAATAAGACTACCTTTCGAAATTATGCAACCTTGTGGATCTAAGTGAGATGTAACTACTACTCGCCCATCAAGCAAGAAGCTACTTGGGTATGAATGTCGGTGATGAACAATTAGCAGAGAGACGTCCAAGAAGGCCAGAATGCTACCGATGCGAAAGACGTCTACCACTGGTGGTGCTAACAATGCGAAATTTAATTGGAAGAACATACCGATGTGGCTCAAATGTCGATTGTGCTACTGTGGACACTAATGATGGTGTGTTTAGGTAGATATAACGTTTGAGAAACAATTCAGAGCTGCCCGACACCTCCGTCAGATTACTCAATTGAGTTGGCATGGCAATGTGAGATTAACATCCGAATGATTATACTACTGGTACATATGATTTCATATTAAAATAGGTCGCTACTAGCTAAAAAATATAGACTACAACCGATGTTACTCCTGAATGGGCAGGTAAGTAGGACTTACCAGGGACTGCTGAAGAAGGGACAACGTAGCTCAGTTGCTCGGCGACGCAGACTGGGAAGGGAGTGACGTGTTCTGCGGCATTGTAGACCGTTTTCCCTTCAAAGACTGCTACCGGTGCGAGATAGTCGAACTGACCTAACCAAGCTACCGCTTCACTGCCTACAAGGTTAAGGAATGGGTTGAAGCAGCCTTGATCAGAGACCAAACGCCCGTGAAGAGAAAGGTCAGAGGCAAATTTAAGAAGCCATTTTTCATCATTTGGAGGATATGCTCCGCATAGACCTTACAGAAAGTGGTCATGCCTTGAGTCCGGAGGTGAATGCCTTAGTAGCGTGCATGCGTTCAGGAAAAGCTGTGGCTCCTATCCTACGGCCCATGTTCCTAAGTCCTCTCTTGAATCGAGCCTCTAAGAAAACTGCTATTTGGAGCGTTAATGAGGGGATTACCAAAGCAAACATAAACATAATACACCAAGGACTAACTCAGTGATAATTGATGGTAAGAGGAAAGCTACAGACTCGACACGGCCATCATAAGCAAATTTTAATGAGTTCAAAGACTACTAGATATCGGGCAGCTAGTAATGGCGGTATCTTCTTACACTTTAAATTACTGTGGATTAAATGTTATAGTAACGTAATGAGTTTCCGACTACACCATTAATACCTTTACCAAAAAGAGAGAGCAGAAGAATGCAGTCTCGACGCGCACTGAATCGACTGATGAAGCCGTGGGTGAGAAATTCTCGACCCCCAGGAAGCTCAACTGATTCATCCGAGATCCTGGTAACCTTCGGCGATTTCGTGCGGGGTTGGATATAAACATTCGCCATTCCAACGGTTTCTGAGGCACCCAGAGCCGCCATCATGACCCGCAACACCTCAACACCACGACTCTCCATTGAAGTGTCACCTCCTGAAAAGATCAGACATGAGCGAAACCAGTCGCTTAAAATAATTTGGACAGGGGAGATGAATCAAGAATGGGTGGTTAGATGAATTCAGAAAACTAGTGGGTAAATAGGATTCGAATTTGCAGGTTGGCAAGGCAAAAAATAGTGAGTGAACAAGAGAGGAGACGCGGAAAATATGGCGCTCAGACGCATTAAACGACAAAAAATTAGCATATATAGAGAGGGATGGAAGGACAAAAGATGGAGGTGGTTGAACGATTTGACGGTTCGATAGATGGATCCTTGACGGATACCGCGCGCATGGGTGCATATGTGGCCCGTGAATAAAGGGAGATAGTACGGGTAGATGGGTCAATACGGGATGGATAATGAATGAAAGAATAGATAGGTGGATTGGCAATCCAGGATGGAAAGATGAATCCTACCTGGGGCGTGAATCAGAGTATGGCGGCTAGCAATAGGCGGATGGCTCACGTCGTTCACTTGCAGAAAGCCAAATACCTCCACAAAGAGTTGGATCTCCTGTTCCGGTAGAGTTCCCAAATGCTTCCATTTGCGAATACATGGCGATGGTGCCAATGTAACAGGGGCAATAAGGTGCCCACAGGCAATAAATCCTTGAGAATACACTTCACAACGCTGCAGAGCCAGCACGGAATCCACTACCACGCCAATGGGAATAGTAGATGCGTTTTCAACAACGTGGAAATCTTCAAAATAGCTCTTCAACACATTCAGCTTGGATGATGACTTCAGAGAAATAAAAAAGGTCAACATTAATTTCCCCAAAGAGGGAATTAATCTTACTTGTGCATCAAATAAATTGACGACAATACAAGTGACCTCCTTGGAAGCCACCGAGGGAAGTAACTCCGACGCGTGATCACCGGGAATCCCCTCACTCCAGCCATCCGTTATAACAAGGACCTAAAACTTAATCTAATCCCATTGCAAATAATAAGCCTACATGCAAGTGTTGATAAATATTGAATTTTGGCAATTCCTTCTCCACTAACTTTATCAAAGTCGAAGTGAAATCGTTGCGTAAGCAAAGTCTCGAAGAAGGATTTGGATAGGAGTCGACGGTGTTTTCCAAAGTGGAATTAGAATCCGTGAAACCAGGGCAAAAGAATGTGTCACTGCTTGATTTTGCTACCTGAAAAGTGGGCGGTTAACGTAGACGTAGCAACTACAAGGGAGACAAAGTCGTGAGGATCAAATTTGAGTAGTTTATGCAAAAATTCCTTGGCAATCGATTGAGAATGAACAAAGAGACTTTTCTTGTCATGAGAAAGGGGACGCAACATTTGAAAAGACCAATCTATTGCAATGATCCAAGGCATCTTCCAAGAAGCAAAAGCAGGCTCCGCACAAAGTTCACTTTAATGTGATTGACGCATGCAAAATAGGCTAACAGTCGCATACAGTTGGTTCAAAAAAAGGTTCAAAATTGCTTTTCAGCCGAAGTCCTGTGAAGTAGGATTTGATTATAATTTGTTGATTGCAAAGTGTTTTAAATAGTACTTTAGTATGTAATACAAAGGGACTGGATAGTTTGCGTGAGGTTATAGCCCAATTGAATTAGCTAAGAAATAAAATCGGACCTTTTGTGCAAGTAAATCTTCTTTATAGGACTTCGTGTGTTGCCACTGTTTTTATTTGGTCTGGCACTGGTTCATATTTTAAAGCCATCACAAAACTAACGTAAGCAATCCATTCCATGGATTAAGTTAATTTGGCTATCTGGAGCGCTAAAACACACATTATTACTAAAAAAGTTTAAGAATACGGAGTCTTACAGGAGTAGAATAGGCGCGAATGTTCTATTTCTTTGCGTCAATCCCCTAACACATTGCCAAACTCGCTGATATTTCTTTCAGTAATCGGATCTCTTACCACTTTACCTGTTCTTGCCCCATCTATTCATTTTTACAATCAGTTAACGTGTTTCTCTCTTTACTAATATGCTTTTCTGGTGCTTGTTTAAAAAATTTAAGCATTCATGATTGATTCGCATATCTTCATGATCGTTTTTATAAATGCCACCACTCACTTCTAATCCATTCATCGGCCCATCAATAAAGTCATCGAATGAGAGGCCAGTTACCTACCTCCGCACCTATTTTTGGCCCATCTACCGTGTAACCAGTAATCTCCTCATCCATACATTGACTCATTCATTACTGATCCCCTCTTCCGATTGCTAAGGATAGGTGCAATGCCATCGCTTCAAGTTGTAATACCGATACGAGGAACTGTGTTTCATGGAATTATCTGTGTTGACTACCTGCTACGGAAGTAGTCAAAGTCGGTGGCAAAATCGTTACATTTAACTTCCAGTTGTAACCTTTTCATACTTCGGGAATCACATAAAAGGAAGTGCCAAATTGG